TTATATTAAAGATCATAAAGAGCTTCTCAATAGCACTAAAATATGTGATTAAATACGTTATTCCACACTGCATACAAAAGACTGAATTCTTTCTGTTTAACCCAATAAAGACAGAAATATAAATATATTTATTATATTTTAAAAATGATCTCTACTCATTTCTATGTATGTATATAATTTCCCCAACCTCATTCAGTGATCATTTTCAATCCCTTTTTATTTTATGAACTTTGATTTTCAGAGTGACTAAAACAATTTATTTATTACTTTAATTTCTCTTTTTTTTAGTTTTTCTTATTTTTATTTTCTTAATCATTTATGATCTTATTTATTTACAAACAAATAACGGAACAGCATCAGCATCGGTCATGCAGAGATAAAAATAAAACAATAACAAAACCAAAACCAAAAAAAAAATTAAATTTGTATGAAAGGGGAAACTGACTGCAATAATGTATCATCCATCATCATAAATACCAGTGAGTAAAATTTATAAACAAAAACAACAACAAAAGAACAAATAAAAAATATAAAAACAAAAATAAAAATAAAATCAAGCAAGAGTAACAATATTACAAAGGCGAATAAACTCATCGCTACACTGAGATGAAATAAATGAAATTGAATATTTTTTCCCCTACATTTTACGCGCGCTTTTTACATATGCTCTCATACTGCACCACATACAATAACAAATTTATGTAGGCTAGAGCATAAAAGAGACACAAAATATCAAATGAAATGTATGCACCACTACTCATTTAACGAAATGAAATTGAAACGAAAAACTCATTGCAAGTAGCAAGCACAGTACAACACAGTAGAGCGCACCATACAGCAAAGCAAACGAAACCAAACCAAACCAAACCAACAAGCAAGTACTTTACGAATCGACAGTTTATTTTTAAACTTTGTATGGTTTGGACGTTTCTAACGGAACAGTTGGTGTTGAAGAATAACATTAACGCGCGCCAAACTGACTGAAAAAATTAAGCCAAACCAAAAAGAAAAATATTATTTTTTTGAATTATTAAACTTAACAATTATTATTAAATTGCATTTAAAAAAATTTTATGTTTTAAAAACATTTAAAATTGTAAAAACAACAGTTACTGTAAAGAACAAAGCGGAGAACTGTGGGAAAACTCAGCAATAAAATAAAAAACATACAGTGCAAAAAATAAGTGCTCAAAAGTTTTATATTTCGAACTGAGGAAAAGGAAAAATCTTTGTAAACAGTAAACAAACTATCTGTGTAAAGAATTTGTATTTTATGTTCAATTTATATATAAAAATAAACAGAATAAATAAAAATATTATTGCTAAAAACTGAAACATTTATTTAGAAAAAAAAAATTTTATTTCACAAAAATCAAAACAAACTAATTTTGATCGTGAAAAAAGTGTTCTTTCTGCTGTGTTTAAATTAATAAATTTATACTCAAAAATAAAAAATTATTCAAAGAAAAAAAAACAATGAAAATTAAAAATATTGCAAAATAATTCTATGCAATTTCAATTTTTCATCAACATATTTAAAATTTTTGTTTTTTAATTTTAATTATTTAACGTTAATAAAAAAGGCTTCCCCATGAAATGTAAAAGTTGGTCAAATAAAATCAACAATTTTGTTGTACGCAGATTGAAATCTATTAAGGTAAATATGAGAATTATTTATTTAATAATTAAAAAAATTTAATTATACAATTAACAATATTAAACGACATTCCTTTAAAATTATGTTAAGAATGTGAAGTCCCTTTCTTAACTTCACTCTCTTATCATCATTTTCATAATTAAAAGGAAATGGAAAAAAAATTGAAATAAAAACTTTTATTATTTTAGTTAAAATAGAAATTATATTTTTTAAAGTAGTTGTGCGTACTGTACCTTATAATTAGAACAAAAAAATATTTTCATGAGAATTAGGCCAATATTTTCATATTTAAAATTTTTAATGAATAATTTATATGTTCTCTCGAATATTATTGTATATTAAGTAATTTATACATTAAATATTATCTATAAATATTTTAATATATTAAAAATCGTATATATTGTTTAGTATATATTAAAAACTTAATATAGGGTGAAAAAAATGGGCTGACCTAAATTTTACAAGGGAGGAGCTCAATATTCAAAATTTAGTTTCAAATGAAATGATATAATATTATTTAAATTATTTCCTTTGCACATTAACTTTTATAACAAAATTAAATTATTAAATTTTTATATAAAATATAAATTTAGTTATTA